AAGGCTTGGGTTTGTGACTCACATTATATTTCTGTTGGACAGAACTGGACTAGAAATTCACACTCAAGAAGGTCAGAACAGCCAGATCTCTCCAACTTGGGCAACCCAAAACAGCCTGCTCAGGTTCAGAGAAGGACTCTGGGATACAGTTCTCTCATGGATTCCCTATGGGTGATATTTTGGTAGAGAACCCATCCCTACTTGGAAGGTTAGGAACAGGGAAGGTTTGAGTTTCAGGAATAGGTGTTCATGAGTTGGGGGAGTAGAGAGTTGGAAAACATTGAGTTACTACAATGATTTACTGTTGAAGAATAGCAAACTAATTATCACATTACAATCCTCTCAGCCTGGGGGGTGGTGATTAGCTTCTTTGGGGGCTCTTAAAAAGAAAGAAAAAGAAGTTATTTCTTGCCAGCAACTACCTATTTTGTCCTTTTAATTCAACTCAATTCAATTGAGGGGAAAGTTGCATAAAGGAAATATTAACACTATAATGACTGAAATGGGAAAAGAGACAGACTAGAAATGTCTTTAGTTTTAAAGCAAGGTTTAACTTTGCCTATCAAAATGGCAAATTTTAGGTTAATCAAAATGTAGCATTGCACAAACATTTTTCAGATATTATGTAGAACTATTGTAGGCTCAGATTTTATCTGCTTACCACAGTTTCCTGGCCTGTTTTAAACACATACATGGCTAATATGACTACTTGGATTCTAAAAGTTCATCAGCTCCACTCAGAGAGAATGAGCTTCTTACAGGAATACTATATAGACAACTAAATCCTTTCTTAATTTGAGTTTAGGGTTTAGCACCGGACATTCTATTTGAGACAAACTCAATCCTAGCAGAAATGGGAATTAAATTTGATGGGAAAGTAGAATTTTGATTTATTCATGGGGCAGACCAGCAAGAAGACTTAAAGATTGAGAAATCAAACTATGACACAAATTACAGACCAAATAGCATCATAGAAACAATTTAGTATACTTCAAGTCAAACTTAACCCAGATATTAACTGAACCATAAACTGAACCAAAAATGTGTGTGTATACCTATATTTTCTAATGAATCAGAACATCAAAATATTCCTTTATCTGAACTTGAGCCAATGTTTCCTTTGTTACAAGAACACTTTTGGCTTTCTTTTGCCTTTAGATGAAGGTAGTTAACATGTCCTGGAAATGGCTTATCTTCCACAACCTCTAGTCATTCAACTTGAATAAATGTATGTGGATCCATACACAAGTTTCAGATCAAAGGCAGATTAATACAAGATGGAAATGGGGTAGTATTACTTGCATGTCCTAGAAAAGAACAAAGATATTCAGCCCCATTCAACACAGTTATTCTTTGGATAAATGTATGCTAACCTGGATATGTCCCTTGCTAACTGCTCAGAAAAATCTTGACTTTTTAATGAAATGGTTCTTTCTTCTTAAACCTCAAATGTCTGTAAGAATTTTTTAAAATTTTTTATTAGTACATGTTTGTAGTACAGAATGTTTACACTTTTCTTAGGGGTAGATATGGGTACTTAACATATCTTAATTCTTTTTATTCTCCTTCCCTTCCCCTCTCTGCCTTCCCTCCGTCTCTGGATCTTCTATAAGAAGAAATTTATGCCAACTGAAAACTACACATTTTCTATAGCTTATTATTCTCCTTATCTGATTCTGATCTTGTGAAAGCTACTTTATAAATCTGTGCATTGTAAATAACTGATAACAATAGAGAATTATTCTTATCTATAGACATGCAAATTACAGCTTATCCAAAGAGTATGTCAAATCTCAGAGAAGAAAAGCAATTTGCTTCAACTCACAAAACTAGGAAGTGGTGTAGCTGGCTTTCTTAAAGAAATGTCTCTTTTTCCATATCCTATCCCTCTCCACTTCAACTTGGAATGATTCTGAGTGAGGTGGAGGTAGAAGGGAGATAATGGGCACCATAAACCCCAACCTCACCTAAGTTACCATTTTGCCTGAGATCAGCTTTTTCCCTATGGAATGTTCACTGAGGACATGCCTTGGACTTGGCTCTAACCAAATTGTTATGGGATGCGCACGGTCATGTTATATGGATGGTCCTACCGTTTGGGGATGAAACCATATGGAGGCTATATCCAAGGTGAGCCAAAACATTCTGGAAACAGCTATGAAGATTTCTAGACTAGGGCTTAGCTTCGTTTATATTCAAGAACTAACTAAAATAAGAATTTCAATTATTTCTACTGAGAATGTCACTCTAGATTGGTGATAGGGAATAAGAGTTGTTTGTGAATCTGATATCTACCAAGTCAAGTCCCATCCCCACCCCAAGCTGAGTATTCTATTTACCTTGTGAATCTGAATAAATTCTTAATCTCTTTCTTTAGCAAGGTAGTTCTGAATAACAAGTGCATATCTTGCCTACCCAGGCCTGGATTAGGATCTACTATAACTTTTCAATTTGACAAATAATCATCTAGTCTTAGTGTGCCCCTGTTCTGTCTCTGTTTGTGAGGCACATATTTTGTAGAAGGGAAGTCCTATATGCAACATACTGGAGATCAATGATTTGACAGGTCCTTAAACAGTATTTAATTCTGGGTGGTTGTGTTCCTATGTGCTGGGTAGTCAACAGAATAGTTTGCAGAGACAATCTATTCACTTCAGGCTGATGCCATTTGAGGATTTCAGTAAAGTTACATGTCTTTAAAAATAGGTCCACAAATTATTTAGTATCTCCCTTGAAGGGGTAGAGCCTAATTCCTCTCCCCTCAAATGTAAGCTAGAGTTAGGAAGTGCTTCTAATCATTAGAATAAAGAAAAAATGACAACATTGGCTTTGGAGTTTAGATCATAAAAAGCCCTGCATCTTCTTTTTCATTCTCCTGAATCATTCACTTGAATGAGAGACCCGACCAACACTCATTTTGGTGGTAGATTCTACAGTCCCAGTTGACCCTTCAGATATTTGAAGTTTCCCCCCAATCCTTACTGCAATGATGAGAGAAGTGTGCTAGGACTACCTGAGTAAGCCACTCCAAAATCCTTGCCTGACAGAAACTGTGAGATAATGAAAGCTTATTTTAAGCCACTAAGTTTAGAGTAGTTTATTTCACACCAAGATATAAGGAATAACAGTTAGAAGTCCCCACAATATTGCTATTTCTGAAAAATGATTAATTAAGCAATTATTGCCAGTCTTTGTAAATCCTGAACAAATGTTTAAAAATTCGTTAAGTCTCTGTTTAGAAACTGTTCACATAATTTCATTCTCATTTCCACTGTTAAAATCTGAATCACTATAATTTTAGCAATATAAACTTGCTTAGATAGATTCATGTGCTCTTCTGAGCACTCGAACAAAAGGTCATCAAAGAACATGTATTTTCATTCCTTCAGTAAACATTGCCTAAATGTCCACTGGGTCTCTAGCAGCATGCTTGGTGAAATAGGTGCATTTATGAATCTATTCTTTCAGAAATGTTACTTAAGCACCTACTAGGGGCCAGGAACTATGCTCAGCACTGAGGATATAAAAATGAATGTGGAAACTTGCCCTCAAGGGGCTCAGTATTTAGTTGGGGAAGTAGACAAATAAACACACAATTTAAAACACAGTATGGTGAATACAATCCCAGAGATTTGAGTAGCATGCTATGATATTGCACAGAACAGAAAGACTATCTCTATATGAGGTCTTGAAGGATGAATGTGAGTTTTCAAGTGGAGTGGTAGATTGGACGGATGGCATTACAGGCGTGGGGAACAGGGTATTCAAAGACATGGAAATATGAAAAGCCTGGGCTGTCTTGTAACACTTCAGTTTCCTTTGCCTGAGAATAAAGAGATGGCTGGTGATATACATAGCCCTCATAGTATGAGGCAGGCAGGATAGGCTGGTTTTCTAGGCATATGCATTTCAAAGTCAATAAACTGTTCAAATTACCCCAAATTAAAGGGTTCTTATACTTTCCAAAAGCTTTCTGGCTAGAAGAATTCTCATGATGAACTCTGAGCCTTGGGAGGACAAACCTATAAGTGTTCTGAACCACATAATTTAATGTGAAAAATTCAAATTATCTGTGCATGGGTCTACTAAGCTTCTGAACTTGGACTTCTGTGGCCTTTACTTTTAAAGTTTGTCATTTAAAAAAAAGGAAGACATTTTCTTTTAGAGCAGTGCCATTCAAACTGCAGGTTGAAGACAAGATAAAGAGTTTCTGGCAGAGTATAAATCAACACATTGCTGACTTCATTAGTGAAATAATGCTTTGGAAAAGAAAGTCAGCTGATCTAAATGGTTTGCTTAGTGGCATAGTTAAGTTACATTTGGCAGAAGTTCTAATCTCATCACAGACTGATAAAAAACAGTTCATGTGTTGGCAATAATCCATAGACCACAATTTTTAGACTATTCACAGTCCACTAAATGTTTTATGATAAATCTCTGCATGGTTTCATAACCTAATCTGTGCTTTCTTTCCCATTGTGAGAATGATTCAATTTATCTTATCTCTCATTTAAAAAAATTGTATGCCTGTAATCACATAGTGTACTTGTCTTTTTTGTCGTTGTTGCTATGCCATCTCATTAATCTGAAGCTTAAGTGTATCAGCTATGTTGGTATTTTGAATGTGTATTTTTACCTTCTTGTCCTAGATTCTGATTTTTAATTTCAGAATTACATTTGTCTCATTTCATTGAATGTATTTTTACTGGATGATGTTGAAAATAATGACAGTGATAATAACCCCCCATGACAATAAGCATTACAGAACGCATGACAAATAGGACAGATTTCTGGTCTGCATCCATTTGAGTAGAGTAAAGATGGCAGCTGTGCCTCCATGACTCCAAACAAGTTTGGCTCTTCTAGTGTTTGGAATGACAGAATTGGAGTTCATGGAGACACAAGGGTGACTGAACATGAGAAACTCATTCCTCTGCATGCAGAGGGCATCAGCCTCCATAAATGAAGTGAGCGTGCACAGTTAAGAGAAGAGCACTCACCGTCTTGGTCGTTACCTGAGTCAGCTGGAGACTTGCTTCTGCGCATAGGGCCAGGACTCTTGGCTGAATTTTTCTGAGGTGTTGGGGATGCCTTTGGGCCAGCTGTGGCTGATGGGTTACCCTTCATGACTCGGCATTCTGGAGCAAAAGAGGATATTGACATCTTAGTAGAGGGTGGAATTGAGGCTCAGCATGTTACTAGCCTTGGGGAATTGGAATAATCACCACAGGCCAAAGCACCTAAGTGTCTCAGGACTAAAAGGTGGTGCTCATTGTTAGTAAGAACTATGGCTTTGTGGAGGGAGACATGAGGAAAACTTTCAGAAGTCACTTGGGCTAATCTAAGTGCTTAAGTCACTGGATTATGGAATAAAGGCAAGACTTCAGAAACAGGTCAAGTAGGTAATAATTCAACAAAATCATTTGAGAAATACTGTATAGGTGTCTTAGAATAGAACCTATGGATATAATGTTTAATTCCTTTGCAATAGAGCTTGACATCTTGGAGGGTACAGCTATACAGATAAAACATCCACGAGTAATTTAAAGAATGGTTAGGAAGTTAATAACTATCTTTTATATGCCACACATTTTATATTCATTCACCTTATGATTTCATGTCATTTTACATAAATAAGCACTGCCACCAGCACTATCTTGCATTTATAGAGTTCTTTTCTATTTTAATGCATGTTATCATAATCCCTTATGTTGATTTAATGAATAAATGGGCCAACAATGACTCTACCACTTATAATTTGAGAATACTCATGGGTTATGGGAATCTGCCAAATATTCCTGCATTTGCTGCACATTTGGAGTCCCAGTTTGACACATTTGGAGCACTCTTTCTATGCATGTCACTCAGCATCACCTGCTATAATAATTTGAGGCACTGATGGTGTTAATATATTAGGAAAATCATTATACTTATTTTGCTGATGGGAATACAAAACCTTAATTAGGCCTCTTGCTTAGACCTATAAAGCAAGAAAGTTGCAGAATAAGACTAGAAACTAAGTCTTCCTGAGTCCCGGTCTAGTGTTCTTTCCACTACACTTTTCCTAACCTTTTGCTATGATATGCAAAGTGGAATAAAACAGCTGGGTAAGTAGGATAAGCAAGATAGTCATTTTTTTAGACAACTTCTTGCTGCCTACTAGTTAAAAGTACACTGAAATTTAAATTAACCAGAAAGATCAAGTGTTATTCTGGTTAACTGAGCTTTTTAGAAAACTGAATTGAGAAGAAAGTCCATTTTTGTTTGTTTTACTTCTTGTTTTGGTTGATGATGTTTAGTGATCTCTGCCAGAGCTGAATATGTAGAAGGCATAGGAAATTGGATACAGTCTGGATTTTTTAGCTATTTTATGGTCATTTGTCATAAAAACAAAGGGAAAATAGCACAAATGCCACCTTTTTAGGGTCTTTGTCACTTGAGCTTTTTATAAAGTATATACTAGAAAAATTCCTCTTGGTTTTCTCACATTTTATTCCTCCTAAATGGAAAATATTTTGAATGTATCTTTTCATTATATAGCATCCCAATCCTGTTACTGTTTGAGCTAATTTACGTTTAACTTAAACCTGAAGCTTAGAATTAATTAAAGGTAGATAAGAAGGGAAAATGCTCAGGTCCTTCCTGAGATGAAGGATCGTCTGGAATCCTGAATCACAAAGCAGGGAGAATAGGACAGCAAGCTCAAAGGTACAAAATGGATTTGATATTAAGAATATAGTACAAAATTTTTTCTAAAATGGAACCATCAACATGGGCCAAATAGCTAGAAGATATTGACTATAAAAATGTGTAGGTACAATTTCCAAGTTCTGACACCAAATGTTCCTTCCTGTGGTCTGATGGTGCTTGTTAGCTCAGGTGATGTAATATGTGGTTTAAGAAATATGGTTGCTATCGGGACAGATGGTGAATTTTATTGAGTTTGGAGGCTGGGCTTCTGGGACATCCAGTCAACCTCTCATTTAATGATCCATGTGTCCAAATGTACAAGAGAAACACAATATCTGCCCTTGAGGGACTATGTTTGGATGTTCTCCAGGCCACATACATCCATGGAAATCCTAAAGGATAAAAGAGAGAACAATGGGGCAATAAAACCCACTGATTGTGCTTACCATTTTCATCCAGAGAAAAGTCATCTTGAGCATAGCGAAATTTTTCAGGACCACAGGCAATAAACACATCATCATCACCAAAGAAATCATGGAGACAGGTTACCTATGTAGAAAGCAGAAACACTGGATTGATATTTGATGTTCTTGTGACAATGAAGGTCATACCACATTGGTAAAGGGAAAAGCTTCACATCTAAGCCATCACTTCCAGCCTCCAAGGATCTTCTTTTTCTCAGAACACCTTCCACACTCATAGTTGGCACCACAACTCAGTGAGTGAAAATGAAGGTGCCATCGTCTCTCTGCATGTCATGTGTGGTATCTTGTTTCCATCTGATCAAGAGTAAGATTGAGACCATGTGCAAATGGAATGTCCTCCTCTGAATGGAAGTCAGCCAGCAGACGGTCCTGCACATGTTACCTTTTCTCAGAGCCTCAAAGACAGAGCACTCCTGGCCCAACTTTGGGGCCAGGAGTCTAGGCCAAGGCAGATGAGAAAGATTTCCTGCAGCTTTCAGTGGATAGATCCTGCAGATAATTTAGAGGTGGAAATCATTCTCTTCAGGCACATTTGTTCTAAAAGAAAGACATCATTTCTTAACTGCTTTACACACACAAAACAACTGGATTTTTGCTAACAGTAAGCCCAGAACTTGGTAGTATCACAGAATAACATTCTTCACTGAGAAATCAGGAGGAGGAAACTGTGCTGACCAGTTGAAACTTCATCAAGAGCAATGAGTCATATAACTTTGAGTCTTTTCTGGTAAAGCCATGTTCCTAAGGACCTTTCCTGTCCTTTGACATCCTACGCATTGCTGCTTCTTCACGGTAGAGACAGTATCCCCAATCCCCTCTCTGAGCAAAGAAATGAGGGTCCTGGGAATGTAGGTGACTCTCTTTGTCTCTCCACTTCTCAGATTCCCTAATTACATCTGCTAATTACTCCAACACATCAGCGAAACCCCAGGAGAGTCAAAACATCCTTATCCTACTCCTTAGCTTGTAAGTGTTCAAAGCAATCATTCTAAGCTTCCCAAGGCACATCTTGCTGGGTGCAGAGAGCAATATGTTACATTTAAAAAATGTTTATATTAATGACATCATCTTGCACCCAAGGTCTATACAATCCCTTGTCCCCCAGCTAAGATGATTGCAATCTTTACACAAAGGGAAAGATGCTTAAAGATTATCCCTCATTGTCTCAGTTTCCCAAACATCTATGAGATGCTGAGAGAAGGGAGATTTAGAAGACTTCCAGGGTCACTCTTATTAAGCTTCTTCCCAGTCTAGAGTCCCAACCTTATCAAATAGATGAACACATTTCTTAAACCCACTTGGCCACAATCATGTAATGACAACCAGAACTACCACTAGTTGAAAACTTCTCTGTGACAGCATTCTGCTGAGTACTTCCAAATTTGTCATCTCATTTTACCCTCACAACAAACCCTAGAGGATGCTAGTATTGTCATCACTGTTTTAGAGATGAGACAGCTGAGACCCAGAGACAATAAGTAAATTGCCCAAGTGGAAGCAATGAATCCAAACACAAATCTATCTGACTTCAAAAACTGTGCTTTTAATCATTCAGTAACACAAATGTTTGGGCACTAGGGAGACAGAGATGAATAAGACACAGACTATGATTTCATGAAGCTCACTGTCCCATGGAGTGAGTTACTTAGAAACATTTCAGTTTAGTCTTATGAATGGAGAATCTTTAGGTGACATGAAAGCTATTGTTAATCACATCTAAGTGATCCAATGTGGATTCTGCCTATTATTCAGGTAGCATATGATACTAACAGATCCAATAACAAGCTACATGGCTTGAGCCTTGCTGCAGACTCCCTGCTAAAATCTTGGATGTTGCTTCAATAAAATCTGGAGTCCTTAGCATTGATACACCAAGTGTCTCTGCATTGTTTTATTCCCTGCTACCTCCTTGACCCTGAAGAATTCTGCCATGTCTTCTTATTCAAGGCTGCCCTTGAGCCTGACTAGCTACCTTTATTTTTGCTTACAATGGAAGGAAGCCTCACTCTCTACTAGTTGTCTCTGGCAACAGCTACTTTGTTTCAAGCCCTATTTGTGCCTCTGTGGGTACTCACTTAAGTCCTCTCCATGTATTTCAGATTACTGAATATAAAGACCAAACTTATCCCTCCGTCTATATCTTCCCATAGATCCTGGTATAAAGCTTATGACATAATCAGAATTTAGCTAAGGCTATTTCTGCTTCAACTTCTGCAAGGAATAAGAAGGAACATTCAGAAGCATTGTAAACTTACAAGAAGACTGAAAAGGAAGAATAAGGAATCAATTGTAGCAGATAATAGATATTAGCATTCAGACGCTCTGAGAAGTAACAAAAGCACAAATTTATGAACAAGAAAGGAGATTGTTCCTCATATTATTATGCTAAAATTTAGGTGAAATCAATGATTTTTACATTTCAGTCACATACTATGATATCTTGTTGTAGGACAACAAAACCTTACTGATTGGTAGGGGGTTGCTTTCCACCTCTATCCAAGCTCTGCAAAAAGGCTTCGAAGAACTCTTCCTCTGGGCAGCTTTTAAGAAAGTCCCCTAATGCTTCTGACAAACTCACAATGTTGTAGCTGACTTCAAACACATTCATGTAATAATCCAGCTATTCAGTAGTTTTTATGGTACTGGAGATGGAACCCAGGCAAGGCAAGCACTGTACCACTGTGCTACATCTCCAGCCCTCCCACCTCACATTTTACTGGCTCCCAAATGTACACAATTTTGCATTTTGTATGCGCTTACATGGCTGTCCCAGATACATTGGATACTGTGACACAGCAACCCACATTTCTGTTACAGGTTCGGGAAAATAGAATTTCCTGTGTCTTAAATATGAGAAACCCAATATGCAAAATATCCAGGTAGTCCATGGAGGCACAAGTAGCTCGTGGCAGAGTTGAGACTAGAATTTAGGTGTCCTGCTTCAATTCAGGACAAAGCAATTCAGTTGTCTGAGAGAACATCTCTTCCTAAGGCCCTGACTTCAAAGGCTTATATATAGCCTAGACAGGAGAGCCTCCATTTGTCCTATACATATTAGAACATTTTACATGGTTGAAAAAATAAGTTTCTTTATCAATCCTATTTTTAATTTATGGGCAAGAAAATTCTTATTTATTACTGGCAACTGAGTATGTGATAGAGAAGGAAGACATGGAGAAGAAGAAATGAAAGAAGATGAAGAAGAAAAAGGAGGTGAGGAAGAGAATGAAGTGTAAAGAATAATTCTCACAGAACTTACACTCACTTAATGCTTGCTTTTTCAAATCAGAAGGGGACCAAGAGATGGAAAGAGGGGAGAGGGAGAGGAGAAAGGGATGAAAAAAATAATTAAGATGCTTTATATACATGTACCAACTTCCCGTGAGGAATGTAATAATTATGTACTGAAAACATGTACTAATAAAAGAAAATAAAACTCTGTGGAGGTAATGTGATACAAAGGTCATCTGGCTTACATTGCAAATGCATGATTTTACAAATTAGTTCTTTTGAGAAAAAATCTCCATCATGAGACAGCAACAAAAGTAGTAAATACAATAACCAGTATGATGCCAATGATAGCATCCTCAGAGAGCAAAAGGTCTTGTTGACATCAGCTTCAGTATGAGTCATACTTGGGTATTAAGTCAGAGAAGAGAGAACAGAAAAGCATGACACCTGTCTTTATAATTAATCAAGTGCCAGCACAAAATCAATAAAACCAACTCACATTAAGATGGAACCATTAACTCAATGCTCTTTAAAAAAACCAGCAAGTGTTGTGCATTAGTGTGAACCATATATTATGTGGATTGTCCAATGACTTAAATGCTGAAGTACAAATCAGGAAATGGAGACAACAGAAGACTGTGTAGCAGCAGTTTGAATCTATTAGCTTCAAATGGAAAACTCACTCTGTGACTTGATTTAGGCTTGATTAGATTCTTTATTCACATATTAAAGATCCTGTCAAGTTAGTTCTTGTACATCCCTGCTACTAGTAGATTCTACATTTCACTTACCTAATTAGTCAGAAAGAAATATTACCTCAAGAAGTAAGGTCATATGTATAAACCTACAAGACTCATTTTCAACATGTAAAACGTTTTCACTGAAAGTCCAATTCCACCAGTATTGATGTTTTAAGTACTTACTGAGGCAAAGAGATACACAAATGCATAGTAAAAGGCCCTGTCTTCAAAGATTTGACAACATAATAAGCAAGTTAGAACAACACAAATGATTAGAACATAAGACAAGCTATTCTTAGCACTATTCTGGAGACACAAAAAGCAAGGAGAAACACAGAAGACAAAAAGAAAAATTGTAATTACAAGAATTGGGGGAGGGTTCACAGAGAAGATGACACAAAAACTGAGTCTTGAAGAATGTGTGGGGCAGAGCTTGATGAAGAAAGGAGGTATTTCAGGCCCCTACATGAACAAAGGCAGAGAGGCAGGAATATGCCTTTTTCTTAATAGCCCTGGAAAAAAGAAGATGCATGTTGTTAACTATAGCAACAGACAATCTGACCCTCCAAAGCTGTGTGCACGCAATTGTCCAGACCCATCTGCCAACCTACTGCACAGACAAAACATACAATTGCCTACTGATATAATTCAGAGTGAAGTGGAGGACAAGGAGGGTCTGTGGGGAGGGGTGGCCCCAGTGATGAACAAGAGGGAACCCCTGTGGAGAGGTAGACAAACCACACCGACTTTCCAGTGTTGCCAACACTGTGTCCTACTCATAGAAAGTGGCTGGCAAGCTTTGAAAAGTGAGTTAATTTAAGAGTCAGTAAACATTACAGATGAGGCTTTTTCTAAAAGTTATTGCCACTCTCATTCTGGAACATTTCCTGCCTGCCAGTCCTGGTCTGGCTCCAGTCAGAGGTTGGCATTGAGTTGGCTTGGTGAGCTTCAGCTATGTTTCTGAGACAACTCTGGCCTTCCTATCAAAATGATCTTCTTGGGGTTATCTTGAAGTTTTTCTTATAGGTTTCTCATGACAATATTTTGCCTGAGCAAGCAGCTTCTTCATCCTGCAGTGCTCCTTTCTTTATTC